TTCGTGTGTGTGTCCCCCCCCCCACCCCCCACCACACACACACACCCCACCGGGTATGAATTTGGCCCCTTTCAAAAATCTTTTCCAAACTAACATCAAACAAATTCCTTCTTTAATTGTTGCAGACCATAGGGCGCTGTCAGCGCTACCAGTTTATCCATTCAGCTCTCGCTGCGGTGTGGTCTCTTCAGCGGCTGCAGAAGGGAGCTGGCTTCACCAGGGAAACTGACATGAGCCATGTCTGCCTCTTTTTGTGGTCACTTCCATGCTCCTTGCAAGTCCTAGTAATTCCTTCCCCTCCTCCACAGTAAAGTGCAGAAAGGGGGGCTGATAAACTGCTCAAAATATTAGTCCACATCTGCTACCTTGGTCTTTGCAAGGCATGTGTAGCCATGAAAGGCACCTGCAAGATAGAAGAGGGTTGGAGAGAAGATGCTAAAGCCAGAATATACCCTAGGAGGTGGCTGTTTTAAATTGGGGATCTGGAATAGGAAGGTGGGGGATGAATAGACTAAACTGGAGAGGGTGAGAAAAGAACAGAGAGGGGTTTCGGCACACATGGGAAGAGGAACGGAAGGCAGAAATAGCAGTGATTCCCCATATTGCTCTATCGTTTCCCACAGTGAATGCAACAGTTAGGGCTCAACTCTGTATTCCTTGTTTAGATAAAATTCCCATTGAAATCAATGGGAGTTTAACTTGAATAAGAACTATGGGATTGGGGTCTCCAAGTGTTAGAATATGGTTAGGTTATCATTTACCCCCCATGCAAAACTCCCATAGGGGTTCTTATGTAGCCTTGGCTGCGGATGCTCATTTGATCTGTCAGCCTGTGCCACACACCGCTCCAGGGTAGGGTCACTGTTTGGCTTGGGCAAATTCTGACACTGCTTTGTTGTTTTATTCCTTGTCAGGCTGTTGTTCCTGTTGCCCACCTGGATGCGCCAAGTGTGCCCAAGGATGTATCTGCAAAGGACAACCTTCCACCAAATGCAGCTGCTGCAAATAATGAATGCAACTTCCCTTCCTGACAATGATCTGTATATTTGGTGACATGAAAATAACCTTATTGTGCTTTTTGTATATTTGTCCAAATACGGTCAGTATTTGTGATGTGAGCATAAGCTACTTAAACCAATAAAATTACATGTATATATGTACCTTAAAATCTCTTGCTGGTCACTTTATTCTTGGACAGCACATGTCTCTCACCTGTTGCACTCCTCCCCACCTGGCACACAACAAGTCCCCTGCAAAACAGCATACAAGATGCAAAATAGCTTGTACATAAAGCTCAGGGTCACGTATTTCCCAGCTCTTTCAAAACAAATGACTGCTCCTCTCCCTAGTAGCAAGACACTTTTGATTTCTGTTACGTATTAAAACCTACCATTCAAGATGGGGGGGAATTTTCCTTCTTTAAATGTTTTTCTAGCACTGTTAAGGTCACATCCTGTAGCCCTTCCTCGGACAAAATTCCCCCAGGGCCAAAGGCAAGATCCTAATTACAAGTGCTCACTGCAACTCGATGCTAACTCTTGAGGCTTTAAGGGTCTACTTGGGTAAAATTCCCATTGCAGTCCATGGAAGTTGTGCATAAAGAATGCCTTTATCAGCATTTGCCCTATCCGCATTCTGGTTATGTTACCTGTAAGAATCACAGTATTCTCTTTTCCCTTCTGCTTGCTTTACTTTCCATGCAGACTCGTCCCAGTAGGACATCACCACACCAGCCCAGAGACAATCTGGAAGCTGCTAGGCATTCTCAACTCCTGCTCGCTTCAGTGGAGAGCTGAAAGCACTTGAAGGATCAGGCCCTGTGCAAAGCAATAATTGTGATAAAGAGGGGTTATGCTCTGAGTATAATATATATATGTACATGGCAGAGGCTAGTGTGTATACCTCCGTCCATGCTGAACACCTGCCGTAATGCTCCCTCATCGTGGTCGTCTATCACAAGCCGTGATCTAGAGTTGAGTTGTTTGATCCATAATGGGGTCCCGATGATCTTGTATAGGCAGCAGGTTTAAAACAAACAAAAGCAAGTATTTCTTCACACAATGCACAGTCAACCTGTGGAACTCTTGACCTTCAAAACATCTGGCAAAGATTATAACAGGGTTCAAAAAAGAACTAGATAAATTCATGGAGGATAGGTCCATCAATGGCTATTAGCCAGAATGGGCAGGGATGGTGTCCCTAGCCTCTGTTTGCCAGAAGCTGGGAATGGGCGACGGGGGGTGGATCACTTGATGATCACCTGTTCTGTTCATTCCCTATGGGGCACCTGGCATTGGCCACTGTCGGTAGACAGGATACTGAGCTAGATGGACCTTTGGTCTGACCCAGTGTGGCCGTTCTTACGGTCTTAAGTTGTATTTCTCCCATATTCCCTAGTCACAACTTTCTACGTCTTGTGCTGTTCTGCCTTGTCTGAATGCTTCTCGTGGGTGGAGGCACAGCCCCATTGATAGAAGTAGGCGCACTCCAGCACATTCCAGATATGTGACCTTACCCCTACCTCCCTGACTCAAAATTGGGAAGTGGGGTGGAGTTGTGCAACTGAGCAGGAGCCATTTACTCTGTAATTGCAGAACTGTAACCCAATGCTCATCCCCCCCATCATCACATGATGCCATGGTCATCCTGTGCCACGTGTCAGCAGTCTCATGGGCAGGACTCCATAAACACCTCCTCTATGCAGGTCAACGCTAAAAGCACTCGGTCAGTACATGTCCCGCCTCCAATATATCAGTCTTATTTATTCTCTGGAGAACCTTTCTCTGATTCATCTTATTTATCCTCAGCCACTCCAAGCTTTGTTGTTTTCAGCCTCAGTGGATCTTGAGTTTTGATATTTGCATGGTTGTCTTCCATCTGCAGCTCAGTTGTTCCTCCCTTAGCTGGTATCCAGCCAACAACCCAACAGGTTCCTACAGTCCAGCCTTGTTAAGAGGCATCACAAAGACTCCTTGTTTTTGCTGATACAGACTAACATGGCTACCGCTCTGAAACCTGAGTCCTTTGAGTGTTTCTCACAGTAAGGAAGAAGCAGGATTCAGTAGTGATGATGATAAAAGGGATTCTTTGTTGAGGTTCCTGGACACAAACAGATACTGTAGTTCTCTCTAGCTTCCAAGTAACATCAGCTAGTGTCACCGCATAGCATCTCCCTAACTCTTGGACACAGAATGGGCTGCTGACTATATTCCTTTCTAAACCCTCACTGCGGAGTAAGACTATATCAATTTTCAAACTCCAGTTTTTAATGTAACCCCAACTAAAAAGTATTCCTAGAGCAGGGGTAGGCAACCTATGGTACCCGTGCCGAAGGTGGCACGCAAGCTGATTTTCACTGGTACTCTCACTGCCCGGGTCCTGGCCACCGGTCCGGAGGGCTCTGCATTTTAATTTAATTTTAAATGAAGCTTCTTAAACATTTTAAAAACCTTATTTACTTTACATACAACAATAGTTCAGTTATATATTATAGACTTATAGAAAGAGACCTTCTAGAAATGTTAAAATGTATGACTGGCACGCGAAACCTTACATTAGAGTGAATAAATGAAGGCTCGGCACACTGCTTCTGAAAGGTTGCTGACCCCTGTCCTAGAGGATTTTTAAATGAAAAAATAATTTTTATTAATTGTTTTATCTTAAGTTAAACCTCATTGAAATTGGTCAGTGTAACCAACCATTTTGGGACAAATGTAAGAAACAATTCAGCTCCTGTATGGAAGCAGGAAACTGAAACAATCTTGGTCTCCATCCAAAACAAAGCCATATGTAGGGCTGGAGTAAAAGCTGAACCAGGCAGCTGAAGGTGGGTTCTACAGTGACCCGATAAACTCAGAGGTGGGGGATTGATTGGACTGAAGTGATACCGGGGAACCTCAGAGTTATGAGCACCAGAGTTACGAACTGACCAGTCAACCACACACCTCATTTGGAACTGGAAGTACACAATCAGGCAGCAGCAGAGAAAGAGGGAAAAAAAGCAAATACCCCACAGTACAGTGCTGTGTTAAATGTAAACTACTTCAAAAAAAGGGGAAAGCAGCATTTTTCTTCTGCATAGTAACGTTTCAAAGCTGTATTAAGTCAATATTCAGTTGTAAACTTTTGAAAGAACAACCATAACCTTTTGTTCAGAGTTACGAACAACATCTATTCCCGAGGTGTTTGTAACTCTGAGGTTCTACTGTATGTATTTGTGCATGTCAGTGAAGCAGGAGGAAATAGGAAGAAAAGCAGCAGAAAGCCAAAGATACAGCCAGAAGAAGCACTGGGAATGTGACTCTAAGGAAAAGCCTAGAGAGAGAGCTTTCAGGCTAAGGGCTGGCTAGAAAGAGGCTTGGGATGGTGAGCAAAGGGACTGTTCCCTGCTGTTTGATTACTGCTGTGTTCCGGGAAACAGGACTTCGTACGTTCTTTGGAAGTAAGCAGGATTACATGGAAGGTACCTAACTTCATCATCAGGTTCTCCTCTTAACTCAAACAATCCAGTAGACCCTGAATTTTGGCTCAGCACTCGGGTTAAAAATGGATAACATTATTTCTTATCTCATGAAGAGCAGAAGGGATTTAAAGATTTTCCATCCCATTTCCAGCAACAAAAATAATAATTTTTTATAGATACCAAGCATGGGAATTTTATTCTGAAAGATGCTTTTCCTTTAGAAAATTAGGGAGGGGTCAAAGTAGGTATGATCATGGAAAGCATTTTGCAACTTTAAACTTCAATCCTGCACAGACCTATGCACATGCTTAACTTTACACACTGAGTAGGTTCACTGATTACATTAGGGGTACTCAGTGCATAAATTTATGCATATGCTTAAGTCCGTGCAGGATCAAGACTTTAGCTATTATGTTTACTACTCAGTCACCACTCTAATAATGCTTAATCACCACTTTAAAACAATTGTTTATTGTATTTTATTCTTGCCTTTACACAGATTAGAAAAACTGTGCCCAAGGTTTTAAAAAGTAGGACCTTAAAAATTAGGCTTTTAAATCCATATATAGGCACCTACAGGAATGGAATGATTTTCAAAAGGGCAGAGCACAGAGCATTGACGTGACTGGGGCTACGTGACGGTGTGATGTGTTATATAGGTTTTATGGGCATTTCTTTTGGGATGACATACCTAATTCATTCCTTCCCTCACTAAAAAGTGCCCATTAAACCTTTCCACCACACCCCACTATCATGTAGTCTACATAAGCCATGTATGCCCCTGGAAAACTAGTTTAGGAATGTTACAGAGATTTTTCAACTTTGTATTGGGATTATTTCTTGTATCCCTAAAGCTGAGTGAATGGGAAGGAGAGGGAACTGGTGCTTGCCCTCTGGTGCCGAATAATAACAATGACCTATGAACAATGAACAATGACTTAGCTCTTATGTAGTGATTTTCATCAATAGATCTGAAAGCACTTGACAATGGATGTCAGTATCGTTATCTGAAAAGAGACAAGAAAGCGAGTGGATGCAGTCTGGCAATGAAAGAGTTACTCTGAGGATGAATGAGAGGGAAGAATGATGCTTGTTTACTGTCTTTAAAAACAGGGAAGAAGTCGCAGGGTGACGCCTATAGAGGTCTGAACAGGAGTGCAGGGTGGCGGTGTGTATATTTTAGCACTGAAGGGTTACACAGGCTGGGGAGTGGCTGGTGCATATGCTCAGGGAAGGTAGAAGTGGATTTTTGCAGTTGGCAATGGAGCGCTTGTTACATGATTCAGCCAAGCCATTGCGGGACTCGGGTTCTGACCCACCCCCCTTAGCAGGGTCCTAGGACGCGGGTCCTGAGTGCTTGCTGACCCAAGGCAGACTGATTTGTGAGGGTACGTCTACACTGCAAAACACCCCAAGCCCTGCAGCAGCAAATCTCAGAGCCCAGGGCTCGTGCTGTGGGGCTAAAACTAACAGGGTAGATGTTCCCCTCAGGCTGGAGCCTGGGCTCATGTTGTAATTGAAAGAGACTTTTTTTCATTTGACTGTTTCTCATCAGCTCCTCCCTGCATTTGATTATCTTCCATCCTCTCCTCCTTACTAGGACATAGACGATCTCCATTAACAGAGCCGCCCCTAAGGGATGTGTCTGTCCGAACCACGTGCTCCTCCACACCTGTCAGTTTCCCCAGCCTTTAGCTTAAAAACTG